AATGATGGTGTATCCATTTTATTATCAGGAATATGCAGATAGTTGAGCTCAAACAAACGCCCCACCTTGCGACTAGTTCCAAGAAGTTGTCCTGTTTGTGGGTCCTGCATACGACAACCATGAGTAGAAAATGTTACTTCAAGACCAAGATCATATAATTGACCGACAAATAGAAGATTATAACTAAGTTTTGAAACTAAAAGGGCATTTGGTAAAGTCAATGACTTTGTAGAAACATTGCCAATGTGATGAACATTCATAGGGGAACCATTAGCAAAATAAATATCAGGAAAGGAATTATTAGGCGACATTGAAGAGAAATGAGTAGTAATTGAAGACATATGGTTACAACAACCAGAATCAAAATACCAAGGTTTGGTACCCGGAGCAATAGATAAGGCAGTAGAAGCATTAGAAAGATTTAATATCACTTGTTTTAGGGATTCAAGGTTGACATTAGGTTGTTCTATCACTTCTTTGGCAACCATAGCAGTAGCAAGATGAGTTACAATTCTTTTAAAACTCGCCATAGAATCAGTAAACTCACAATACTGAAAAATTCTAAAAATATGAAGAAATAGATGCCAAGATCGAAATAACAAACCAACAAAATACCTCAGGGCTTGAGAATCAAGGATAAACAATCCAATCTGTAGGAGAAGAGATCCCAACGACAAAGTTTTAGATTTGGAATGGAATTGAAAATCCAACTCCAAAAAACCCAACAACGATGATAAGAGAAAAGAACCAAGAGCTTATAGCTCTAATATCATGTTAGAAAACCAAAAATAAGAATAATTTGAAGAAAAGTTTATTACTTTCTTAAATCATACTGTATGTACAATGACCTAAATATAAGTGTTTATAAAGAAAATATTCTAAGGTATAAAGTATACAAAGAAAATATTTTAAAGTATAAATTATATAAAGATAATATTCTAAAATATAAAATATTTACAATAATTCTAAATATAATTGTTTTCACATCCTAACACAACCGCTCTGTGTTATTATTACAGTTCTCCTGGATTTGGTGTTGCTCGGACAACTTATGCAAGCACCCTGGTTTACGTCTGCTATGCAGAGTCCAACTGCGTTGACCCGATTGGGGCTCTGGCCGCCACTCATTTTAGAACCCAGAATTAAACCCCTCCTTGGTTGAGGTGATTTGGGTGGAGAGGCGTTTGAAGTTGGCCCGGTAAACACTGCCGCCTCCGCCCGGTGATGTTGCCATTGGGAGGACATTTGAAGAAAACAATGGAAGCAGAACAGAGATTAACTGAAGAAAAGAGGATCCAAAGCAGTACTGAATATCCCATTTAAACCTTGAGAAACTAATGGGTTGGGCTAAAGTTTTGAAATAAAATGGATCTGCGGAATCCCCGACTAGAGTGAAATTGGGGTGACGATATCTGAGGTTCAATTTTCTTAAATTAAAAGAAAACAAGTGGAAATTCGTTGAAAAAATGCGGAATCGAGGGAATCTGAGGTACGGAGGTTGCTGGCTTCTTAAAGGTAAAGATCAGTTGTGAGTAAAAATTGAAAGAGGGAAAGAAAAAGATAGATTTTTTCTTTTGTATTTTTTTATTCATCTATCCAACAAAGATAGCATTCCCATCCCACAGTTCCTCTCCACTTACTACTTTTTAACATGACAAATCTGTTCTTTTCTTATTAATGTTTTTAATGGCATTAACAGCCAAAGAAAAAATGCATCCGATGGGAATTTTTAGGGTGTATTTATGTATTATTTTAATATATTTAAAAAAATTAATTTTTTAAATATTAATTTTAAGGTTTAAAATTTAAACTTAATTAACTAATGAATCCCAACTTAAGATTCTAGGATGTAGTTATTCGAAGGGATAATGAATGTTTTATTTCAAAAGATTAGGGTTTTATTATTATTATTATTTTTTTTTTGAACTGCAGATTAAGGTTTTATTTGCCAAGAGGAAATACTTAAGATATTCTTTGCTAATTTCTGGGAATACAGCAAATAGGATAGTGATCAACCACTCTGGGAAGACAAGCTTGCAGATGATTCCTCTGCTCACTCCTAGCAACATGCAAGGCTCTGATAAGAGTGCTATGTCATAGTCTATCAAAGTCTTACCACCAAACTTTTCACTTGTGGTGCACAAAGTGTAGATAACATTTGCAACTGAACCTCCTGTGACCATGAAAGCTGAGAAACTGGAAGCAGTTTTGAGGTCTAGAGCTGCCACAATGGTCAGTATGGGGATAAACAAACCTCCACCTCCAATCCCACCTGCGCTGGATATAGAAGCAGCTATGAAGCAGAATAGTCCTGCTAGCAAAACCAGAGCTTGTGGTTTCAGTGCTGTTTCTTGGGACTGTATCCCCTGACTCTTCCAAATGTGAAGCATTTTGGTTAGATAGTGATCAATTTTGAGATTATCTGATGTTTGGTTGTATCTGTTCTGGATGCGAGTGGATTTGGCTGAGGGTGATGAAAATGGAAAAGATGACAATAACCCATCTAGGCAAATTGAGAATCTGCATTTTGCGGGAGGTTATTTGGACGTGGGGGTGTCTGTCTCGTGGAGATGGAATTATTTGCGTTAGGTCTCAAGAAAGCTCTATGGGGAGTGTTCTAAAATTAGTTAGGAGCAAGGACTTAATGTTGCATTGCCTTGTCAGCAAAATTACAAGAGATAGGTCCATAGATTTTGTTTTTGATGAGACATGTCCAATGGATTTTGCTTTCTCAAAAGTTGTAAATAATTGATCTCTTGTTTATTTACTGAAAACAAAAGGAAACTAATTGAATAAAAAAATAACCTTTTAGACGAACTAAAAAAAATGTCAGTACGGCCTGAAAAGATCAAATACCCCTCAAACTCGAGCAGTTGAGACATCTCCTAAGGATTGTTCATAAAGTATTATTATATTGATTAATTCAAGAAACCTTTTCATTTTGCAGACTTGAACCTACTTGTGAAATGGAGATGCTTTCGTCTTTGATAATATTATTAAAAACGTGAAGAAGAAAAGACTGGGAAGTTTCCCTTCCCAAAAACAAAGTGGAAAAGTGGAGTTAAAATCTCATATGTGTGCAAGGAAGAGTGGAAGACTTCATGAGTACTTTACCCAGTTCAATTGAAAAATGGAAAACCCAAAGCCAGTTGCAGCAAACCACTTGAAATCTCTCTCCAGTTGGGTGCTAATGCTTTGATATTGCCATCAATCCTTTAAGTAAAGGGAGAACCAGTGGAATCCAGGAAATGTTTAATGGAAGAAAAAAAGAAGGGTTTGATGCCATGGTGGTAGGATAGGGCTTTGGATAGCTATGTTTGTCGGCTGATTGATGGAATTTGGACTTACATGCTTCCATCAAATTCAGTGGGAAGTTGTGTGTTACTACCTTATCTAACTGAGATTAGATAATCCATTAAATGCCATCTGTGTCAAGACTAGCTAGTGGCAATGATCTTGTCTTCTTTACACAGAATTTTTCCTTCTCCTGCCCAAACCCAATAATTGAAGTCTGGAACCTCACGAGCGTAAACATTTATGATTACTATTAGTTTGTTTTTAGTCAGGTGTCTCTTAGGGTGCATTTGGTTAGTGGGAAGTTTGTAACTTTTCCGGAAAATTTCTATTTCTCTGTAAGGCGTGCATTTGTGGCCTCTCTTTTCCAGGGCAATAAACCTTTGCCGAAAGGCCAGTTAGATATCGACATATGGGGGAGTTGGGTTGGGTTAGGTCACTACTGGTCACGGGTAGTCAATTTAGTGCGTTGACAAAAGAACATTAGCCATAGCAAGTTTAACCAGTATGATAGCATATTGAGTCAACTTTTAGTACGTAGCTCTTAGGCTCACACAAATAGGAAAAATCTTTTCCTAACTAATTTTGCTTGATGCAAAAGCTAGTCCATATATGAACTTGAAGCACTTGGCCCATATACCTCAAGGAAGTGAATAGGCCAAACTTGGGGTTGGCAGGTCTCTCTACAGCCTAAAAATGTTCCCTAGTTGTTTGTTACAGACAAAAGAAAGCCTAACCATCAATCTGAATGTTGGACATGTCAGCTATATAATGCAAGAAAATTATGAGAACACTGAGGTTGTCTTGGGCCATTCAGGCGAGAGATTTGTAGTGTTTAATCAATCTTTTGTGACATGACAATGATCACATGATGATGTGAAGCCAACCAATCCTCGTACTGACATCCACTGTATATGTTGCCTGTAGTCCTGTACCCATTAAGTCATTTTTTGTGGGCTCAACAACATTGCGGGCCATATATATGCAGCTTTTAGGGGTGGGCAAAACCGGTTTCGGTTTAAAACCGAAACCGATTTTGAATTAACCGAAAAAATTCGGTTTTAATTTTTTAAACTAAAACCGAACTGAAATTGTTATAAGCTAATCGGTTCGGTTACCGATTTTTATCAATGAAATCGGTT